AGCAGATACGAATCGAACGGCGCGCCGATTCGCCCGTCAGTGTTCCCGGTGTCAACCGCAATTTCCGCAAGTTTTCCCAACACCCGCTGACAAAATCCATCTGCTCCCTGGGCCTCGACAAGCTCTTCCTTGCTTACCACTTCCCCATAAGCCACGATCCTTTGCTCCCTCGTAGAGTGACCCACCGCTGCTACAAACTCCGGCTGCTTCCCCTCCTCCCAGCCATTCTCTCGCTTTCCCGCGATCGCGGGGGCTTCTCCCCTACGCACGGAGGTATTCTCCCTCCTCTCCCGCGCTCTTCGCCCCCCACCGGTTGCGTCTCCTCCTCCCGACCACTATCCTGGGGCGCCCGAGAGAGCGCGTCCGCAACTTTGTTGCTCGAACCCTTTCGGTATTCGACAGTGCAGGAGTAGCGCTGCAGAGTCAGGGCCCAGCGAGCCAGCCTTCCCGCTGGCTCCTTCAACTTCTGGATCCATGTTAGCGCGGCGTGGTCCGTCTGTATGACAATAGTCGTACCGTCTAGATAAAGATTGAACTTTTTCGAAGCGAACATGACGGCCAGCTCCTCCTTCTCCGTTACGCTGTAGTTACGCTCGGGCGGTGTAAGCGTTCGGCTCGCGAAAGCCACAGGGCGCAACTGTCCATCGTGTTCCTGTAACAACAGCGCTCTGACACCGTAGTCGCTCGCAAGCTCGCTGTATCAGCTATTGCCTTCGCGAGAGACGCGAAAGCCGCGTCGTGCTCCCGCCCCCAGATCCACCTTGAATTTTTCCGCAGCAATTGGTTCAATGGCTGTGCTAGCTCCGCGCATCCCGGATTGAACTGCCGATAAAAACCGACCAACCCTAGAAACCCTTGAAGGCTCTTTACGTCACGCGGCGCTGGATAATTGAGGATGGCCCCCAAGTTATCGTCGTTCGGATTCAACGTACCGTTGTCAACGATAAAGCCTAAGAGATTAACCCTCGAGGCTGCGAGCTGTACCTTATCTGGGTTGATCGTCAACCCAGCCTCCCACATTCTACTCAGAACGATCTCGAGATGAGTAGGTGCTCTTCGAACTAGTTCGAGAATACTACGACATCGTCCAGGTACGCCATGGCAAAGTTAAACTTCGCGTCCCCCAGCACGATGTCCATCAGCCGCTGAAAACTAGACGGCGAATTCGATAATCCGAACGGCAGGCGGGTAAACTCAAACAACCCCCTGTGACAAGTGAACGCTGTCTTTTGGACGTCGTCTGGTGCTACCTGGATCTGCAGGAAGCCTCTGCTGCAGTCCAGCGTGGTAAAGACCTTCGCGCTACCCAGCGAGTACATGATGGACTCAATAGATGGAAAAGGATACGCGTCCCTTTTGGTCATCTCATTGAGTCGGCGGTAGTCTACACAGAGACGGGCTGTCCCGTCCTTCTTCGGCGCTAACACTACCGGAAATGCCCACGGGCTTTGCGATGGCCGTACGGCCCCCGTGTCCAACATTTCATCGAGAGCCTTATCTAGGAGAGCTCGCTTGTGCACACTCAGCGGTCTAAGGTTACAACCCCACGGCCTAGCGTCTCCCGTGTTTATCTCATGTTGTAAAACATGCGTCACTCCCGGCCTCTCAGTAAACATAACTGCGTGTCTAGACAAAGCGTCCGCTGACGACGATCGCCTTTGTTCGGCTGGCCCGTCGAAAGAAGTCACGATCTGTTCAACGTTATGTGGTACGGCCCGCGCAGCTAACACCTGCTCCTCGCGCAGACTAGCGAGCGAACATTCCGATCTCTTCCCCAAACTAGGTGGGGCTACAAAGGGGATGAGAGGGGTCAGCGAGTTGTAGTGGTACCCGTTGTTCTTTAGGTCTAGAATGATCCCCTCCCGGCAAACGGAGTCCTGTCCCAAAATAACTGCGATTGACATGCCCGGCAAGTAAACAAAGCGCTGCCTCCTTCGTTTGCCGTCGAGGCCGAGGTGACCGCGAACTGCGCATTGCGCCTCGGCCGATCCCGCCGCTAAACGCAACGGAGTTGCAACTTCGCGCATGCGAAGGTTTCTTTTGCGACAGTCCGTGTACACAGAGTCTCCGATGAGAGAGAGGGTTGAGCCGGTGTCGAGTAATGCTAGATAATCTTTACCACCGATCTCTACCCGCACGTACGGACCCCTTTCAGGTGTCGAGTCCTGCGCGCGACATGCCGACGCCGGGAACGCTACCCGATCGCTGCCCGCGACTTCCGCCCCGTCGGCGAACTGACCCGGTGCCTCGGCAGCGGCCGGCAACCTCGATTCGGGACACCCGATTACTGGCGCCGGCCCCGCGCGTTTTCCGAGTATCCGGATTCGGCCGCTGCCCACGTGCATTGCCGCCTGATGTGCCCAGGCTGGTGGCACCTGAAGCACCTGACTTGGGCGCGGTCGTCGCGTGCTACAGTTGATCTGTCGCTAACGGCACGCGGCGGGCCGCCTCGCCGTGCGCTGTTGTCGCTGCCGCGAGCGTCGTAACGCGTCGCATCTCCGCGGTATTCGACCGCGCCGCCCCCCTTTACCGGGTTGCGCCCCGGCTGAGTTTGCGCTGGCTACCCTGCGCCTTTGTTCGAAGCCGAATGGGTTGAGGGCCCGAGGTCGAATCACTCCGCCATTCCCGCGATCCGCAACGGCCACGTACGCCGTCTGCGACTCGACGTAACCGTCCGCGGCGCGTCCCGTCCACGCGCAACCCGGCTCCAAGGACTGCTCGGCCCTTGGAGGGGGCCGATACTGCAGCTCAGTGAGCAAGCCCGCTTGAACCGTGCGCGCCTCTCTCGCCAGTGCTTCGAGGTCTGCGAAATCGCGTCCTCGAAGATGCGCCTTAAATCTGGGGTGGCACTGGCGGATCGCCCTCGCTACTTTCTCCGCGTTAGGCGCGGAGGGTTCGGCCCGCGAGTAGAGCTCCTGGAGTGCACGGACGTACTCCACGAGGCTCTCATCCGGGTGCTGAGTGCGGCTCGCCAGCTCGTCGCGAATCCGCATCTCGTAGTCGGGAGGAAGGAATTCTTCCCGAAACCGCGCCCGGAAGTCCCCCATTGATTGGAACGGCGTTTGCAGCCGTCTCCAACGCGCGGCGTCGCCCGTCAGTGCAATCGGCACGATCTGCAGCAGGGCTGTTACGTCCGATGCCCCCAAAGCGGTTACGTACGCGTCCAAATCCTGCAGGAAATCGTGCACCGATTTCCCGTCAGAGTACCTCGAGTACGTCGGCGCAGGCACGTTCAACCGCGGGCGGGGTATCGGCAAAGGCGCGGCACAAGCGACGCTTGGGGCTGTCCCCATCTGCCACGACATCGCGTCCATCATCACCGTCATCACGCCCATCAGTTCACCAGCGTCTAGCACGCCTTCCGTCGCTGGTGAAGCTGGGGGCGAAGTCCCAGTCTCTGGGGGTGCGCGTGAGCCCGAGTCTCCGCTAATCGGAGCAGCCCTCGCGCTATCTCGCCCAGGCTCGTCCTCCGACGAACCGTCCTTACTCGCGCCGGTGGTCGACCTGGTGTCGACCATTGTCACTTTCTACCAACTCAAACACAATTCGCCAAATTAGAGCACGCTAACTTCCAAAATACGCGAAACGCAAAGTGCGCGACCTCTCAGGGAGGAGCGAAAGCAACGGCCAACCGATCGGGCTCCCACGTGGACGACAGATTATGTGGGTCGCTACTTAATCGATGCCCGATCGGGACGTGCCTCGCTCGCTCCCCAAGAAGTCACTCACGCAGTGTGCGTTTTGAGAACACTTTACTAAACTCACGCGTCGGTGGTCAGCGTCCTGCCCTCGTCCTCCTCGTCCTCGTCCTCGTCGTCGTCGTCACGCACTGTCTGGTCCGCAGGTTCCGAAGAGGACCCCTCTTGTCCCGCTTCCCTTTTTGTATCCTCGCCCCCACCAATCACGTGCCCCCCCACGACCCGTCCACGTGAACACCCACGCACCTGCCACGGGCCGCGCACGATCCCCGAGTGGGGATTACGCGCCGTACGGTGACGCGCCCCCGTCCAGGGATCCGGTGAGCACGGAGCGGGCGCCCCGGCCCTGGCAGGGCGCGGGAAGAACGGGCGAAGGAGAAGGGAGATGCGGGAAAGACGGGACTCTAGGGTGGCGCGGCCGGACGGATTCCCACAACCTCTAAAGAGCAACTAAAAAAATTCCTAATTGATTGGGCTCTACGTCAACTGCTCGCTAATGTTTTCTTATCTTTATTTTGACAACCTTGTCGGAACCTTTTCCTTTTACCTGTATATATCTCTATAGTGTTTCTACCGGTCCACTGTGATTGCCGATCTCTGTCCGTGGCATGTATATATCTCGGTATATATACTCTGTCTGTATTCCTGTATGTACCTGTACATCTGTCTATAATGTTCCTAGTGGCCCACTGTGATTGACTATCTCTATCCGTGCCATGTACAAAGTGACTGAGTGCCCGCCGCCGCAGGCTCTCTGATGACATTTTAGTTACCTTCAAATGTTTCCACGACAAGATTGATTCTCCTGAGATTTCATCTTCCATTTCGTAGCGAGTACCCCACTACAGTACTGTGTACAGTAGCGCATTTGATCTCCCCATGCGGCAGTTATGTTGAACCCTGTCGCCCGCATGCAACTAGAAAACAGCGACTTTGCCGAAAAACTAGACATATTCAACAACAGCATTTCAAGTCTTCGCGCCTCAGTAGGGCTATTGTAATGCAATTGATGGTACTCTTGATTTTACTTTTTGCCACGGTTCTTCCTTGATCGAATTGGTGAATGTACTTCTGTCGACTGATCCGATGTGTTTTCATCTGCATCAATGTTTGTCTTCACATATTTTTGTCTAATTGTCTTTGTGTCGATTTTTATGCCTCTTTACGCCTTGACTTCCCTCTCTTGTTCATTCTTTCTCTCAGTGCTTTTCTCCTGTTTCAAAGAAACGGCTACTGGCTCTTCTTGAACACGCAATAACCATTATTATTATTATTATTATTATTATTAATATTTTTTTTCAGGCTATTCCTATTTCAACGAAATCTGCTCTTTAGGCTTTGGGCTCGTCCGTGACTCAGGCGTTACGTTCGACGGAGTGTTACCTATGGCACAACAAATAGCACATATGTAAGTGCCTTCGCTTTTAACAAAAATATATTTTGCATATCATCTTACAATACTTAGTTGTCAATAGGGAACGTCTTCCTGCATTATTACTTTTACTGTTATGCTTCCCAACTGTTTCAGCCTTTTGGTCCGTGCAAGTTGAGCGGAATGATAATTGGGTAGAAAATATAAAAAAAAGCCGCTGCCTAGAGAATTGGCTATAAACAGGCAGTTCTGTAACGAGCTTATTATTAGAAATTTGCAGAAAAAATACGAGTAAGGTGGTTAACGACATCAAGGAAATGCAGATACATTCTGTATTCTGCTTTATTATGAAAAGCATTTAATCACATATCGCATCCGAAGCTATTGTGAGAGCTGAGTCTCATATTAAAGGATACTGACAGTTGAAATTTGTTGAAATTAGTGATTAACCGAATCCACCAAAGTTAAAATCTTGCCAAGTTTGGGAATTGACTAACTTTAAGAGGAAAACTCGGCAACGATTCCACAGAGCTCCGTACATGCGGCAGCAAAAACAAAGTGACGGAAGAAATAGACACTAATTCGGCCGATTATTCGGCATCGCAAAACGATGGAACGCGAAGTGCAATTGCAAATAAAATCCAAACAAGCAACCCATGGTCATAGCATAATTTGTTAGGGGATACGGCGGCCGAAGAGCGGAACAGGTAGGAGTGCGCAGAGCTATGGTTCCCTCTGCGCATCCGGGAACCATAGGCTCGATCCCCGCAGCTGCTCGTTTAAGTCTGGATTACCATCGCACCGACATGCGTTCCTGTACCGCTACGCGCGATGCACGCTAAATGCCTGAGGCTAGCAGTAGAACTTCTCTGGCTACGTTTCTCGCTTACAGCGGACACAGGCGCCTCCTGGCCAGACTAACTTCCCTGGAATTTAGATTTGTATATGGCAAATTACTTCTTACAGCACGCTTGTCACTTCTTGGGTTATGCGGAGAACAAGTCGTATGCTTTTTGCGCAGGAGTTGTGGTGACGTCTGGACCACGCCGAGCTCTGATCGGCCCTGAAAAAGGATGGTGGGTAGACCTCAAAGCAAGCTGCCTCGAGGTCTACCCCCTATCCTTCATTCAGAACGTATGAGAGCTCGGCGTTCTGACGTCACCACGACCCCCGCAAAGGAAGCAGACGAACCTGCCATCCGCATAGTGATCGTGAATGTTTTATGTCAGGAGCGGAAGATCAACGAGGAAACTTGAGCCGCGCGCTCTGCAAGTCGCAATTGGAAAAGTGTTTTTTTTACAGCGAGATTATAGTTTGATCAGCTTACTGATATTGATGAGACAGCAATACCTAGAGGTCGTGAAATATTGTTGATACGCACAGTGGTTACTGTTTGTGCCCAAGTCGACTGTAGTGGGTCTCTTATGTGGGCTGGAAAAAGACATTTTTTAAAATAATTATCTTGCATACCACTTTATTAGGCTGTCCCTGTGTTAATATTTCCGCCTTCGTAGCCTAGTCGGCGTAGCTAAGCCGAACAAATAAGTTTAGGCGTATTCGCTTTGGTGGTCCATCTTAGTGACATCTCTTTATAAGCTTTCTTTTTCTGCGTGATCAAAGCAATCTATTTTTAAGCGCGGTAATTCAAGTGAAATTGTGTGATGCCTTGCCATATTTTGTTGTTTCGACCTGTGATGGCCAATCTGGGCCACTAAGTGTTTAGTTGGTCGGAGCTTATATTTCTTTTAGCCGTACGTTTTTCTTTAGAATATTTGTCCAACATTTCACGAAAGCGTCTAATGAAATATTTAATTGAATTGCATTTAAGACACCTATGTACCTAATGTTATATAATTAACTCCCAGGACACGACGTCCCTCGCCTTGTAACAAAAGTGTTGATATCAGTGCATGTGAAAATTTTCTTTTTTAAGTCTCATAGCGGGACTCTTCCGGTAAAGATAGGGCTCCAGGAGGAGGGTATCTTTGTACACTGAACTGTAGGCGGCCTTTTCTGTACGCGACTGTCCAAAAGAAAAAGAGGTGTTCTCCTGAAAAGAATCGCTTTAAGCAAAGGACTCTTACAGAAGAGTGTTTCTAATAAGGTTTCACAACTAAACACCAAGAAATGCCTATTAGTGATCTTTATTTGTTTCTTATTAAAAAAGCGATGTTCAGATTCGGTGGGCGACCACACTATTTTATTGCCAATGTCATTTCCTGGTTATCTTAGAAAACAGTCTTCTCGCAACTTCTATTGTGTTGCTAGCACACAGCAGACGTTTACATGCCGAAGAGTTAGGGATAGGCCAACAACTTCAATAGCGGGTGTCCGGTGTAAAACGTAACTTATATCGGACACCACTTATCTATTATATGAAACATCGACTTATGAAAGAGTTTTTCAGTCAATTCTCTAATATTAAAACACCATTTGGGACGTTTCTTTATAAAATAAGGCACTGCAAAGTTAGGGAGGGTTTCAAATAAAGCTGTAAGAGTTATATTTGACACACATGGGATAACACCAGTTTCGGGTCTAGTCCACAAAGCTGACCTTCCGTCATTGGCGGAAAGAAATCGGGTATGCAGATAAATTTTCAGCATTGAATTATTCACGGCCATTTTAAACGGTGGAGAAGTCAAACCGGCATTCTCGGGACACGGGTGATTATGAATCTCTAGACGTGTTTATTGCGCGTTTGGTTTAACCTGTTTATGCATCGTCAACAAAATTTATCAACTCGAAGCAGCAATTTTGAGTGCTGAAATAAATTTAAAAGCTGAGTGCTGGTCCTAATACTAAAGTAATAGCAGAAACAAGGCTATCGAGTTGCATACAAGATAGCGAAGTAACACCTCCCAATTTCACTACCTTTCTCAAGATGGGGCTTCGCGTGGCGGCGGAGTGGCGGTCTTGTGCGTAGTGGAATTTCATGTACCCTGTTACACGTTCTACAAGAAATGGAATGTTTATAGTGTAACATTGGGTGCGAGAACAAGTCTTGCTACGTTGCAACTCCCTACAGGCCTCTATTTGCTTTCCACAAGTCCTTTAAAAGAAATTATGAATACATGCGTAAACACTTTATGAGTAATAAAATTATAATGGCTGGCAATTTCAACATAAATCTTTTTATTGGTGTTTCAAGCAACCACCAAGACTTCTTATGGTTTAGATAATCTGACTAAACTATGCCTGTCTTACAACCTAACTCAAATTTTAACGATAATACCTACATTCCAAGCTCAACACAATAATTGTTGGATATTGTTTTCGGGTCGTGATCATTTTATAAAACAGAAATATAGTGTTGACATGTTAAATCGAATATCTGATCATGAGATGGTCAATTCCAATTTCATAAGAAGCGTTATAGTTTGTGTAAAACCGCAGGTTTGTACAATTCTAGATCTTAACAGAGGCGTACTCGATTATTTTGACATACATTTTGACACCTTCCAATCGCTCGCTATTAACACTCCTGCCACTACCAATGATCTTTGGAACGAATTTAAGGAATTGGCCATTACGTTTCTGTACCAAAGTTTATCCCTGTTAAAAATAGTCCGAAACACTCCTTAGATAACGCAAGAAAACATTCATAGAAAAGCCAAAATAAATCGACTCAGCAATAGTGCAAGCAAAATGAAAACTCATGTGAATAAGTTACATGGCAGAGCTGAATGGTGAACTTGGTTTCAATATTAAATCAACTAGACATAAACTTATTTTAATATAACCCTTCAATCGTTCACAAAATCATCACATTCCAAATTCTGAAATAACTTACCCAAAAATCGAAGTCCAATCTAAAGTCACTTTCATTTAATTAAAAAACCTTGGAATAGCGCATCATAAGTACTTACATCTGGTATTTTAAACTGAGAATAATACCACACCCTCCTTTGCTTCTTGCTCAGCCTTATCATAGGTGATGGTCGCTTTTTGTTAAACTAAATAAAAAAGGACTCGCTGATGCAATATGCGCAACGAATTCATACGAATGTAGGCAGAATAAGTTGCAAAATACCTTGGTAGTATTTTCAATCAGTCATCGAGTAAGAGGAAAATTTCCAAAAAACGTAAACTCACCTGGGGCATTTCCTCATATGAATCTATTAACTAAATCGAACACACTAAATACAGGCATATCTCTCTTGCTGCAAAATGCTTGACTGCATTATCTCAAAGCACATTTCAACCTTCGTAGAGCAAAACAATGTATTAACCTCGCTTCATCACGGCTTTAAATGTCAATTATCGCCTGTGACGCAATACCTGAAAGCATTCGGGACCTTTCTTTTGTAATTGTTAATAGCGGCCAGGTGGGCGTCATTTTCATAAATTTATTTAACTTATTTGACAAAGTATTCCACAAAAAATTAATATCTAAATTGGAAACAAATTTTGGAGCAGGTAGAATTTATAAGTGGATAACAAAGTACTTTGCAGAATGATATCTGTGCGCTACAATTAACGCTCATCCATCATCGCAAATAAAAGTTTCATCCTACGTCCCAAAGGGATCTGTACTTGCACCTTGTTAGTTTGTGATCCATATTAATGATATAATTCAAATATTGATGGGAAATTTCGCTGCTGAGGATTATATACTTCTCTCAAAATTAATAATCAAATATACAAAATCATCGTAAATAATGCACAACATTTCAACGCGAACAGGAGTCACGATTTGCAGATGGAATGACATTTATATAAATCTGTATTTAAAACTAAAACTTAAAAAAAAATATTTGCACCCTGCACACGATAAAGTCAAAGATTATAATTTACATTGGCATTGATCGAAGACATAAACACCTCTGGGACCTGCATATTAACTCCGTAACTCAACATGCAACACATATTTTAGGTTATGCAAAAACTCCATAACCTAAAAAGGTTATGCAGTTTTCCTAAAATTTGAATCCACTGAAACAACACCATTATTAGCCCACACCTATGGTTTTATGTTTTCGTATACATCCAAGAAACTAAAAAAAAAAAAACACTAGCAAGTAAAATATCCATCA